ATTGCCACTGAGCATTTGGCAAAACAATGACATATTGTTGGATTGGAATGCATTGATGTTGCAGCATGACATCACTAGCACAAGACCTCAAAAACTCAAACTCAAGTTACCAAACTCACTTACTCACAATTGGTAGAATGTCTAAATCCACCCCTAAAGTTAGGTAGTAGGGATGGATATATCTATTCCAAACAAAAAACGAACATGTGACGTTAATAGACATCAACAATCTATTAATTTGTTGTGTTACTGATAAGTTCATTGTTAACAAATTGTTGACATCAGATAATTTCATACGTTAAATTTAAGGTGATTTGTCTAAAATCAAAGTGATTAGTCTAAATTAAAAACTTTGTGGGTTAATTTGTCTCCATTTTTTATTTGGAGATAAATTTATCTTTATTACCTACTTTGGAAGTGGATTTAGGCATTCTACCCTCACAATTACCCACGTTAACCTTCCTTATAAGATTCACCTCAAGTGAAATGGAGGTCAATAAGCCCACACCTTATACTACCATTGACTGTGATGATCAGTATAGACTTATACCATAAATCCTTAAAAATTTAAATTTAATGATTAACCTTTATACTTATATATCATACTTATATACCAAACTTACTTATAATTCTCCACTTATGTGGGATTTGAGGTGTTACAAAGTAGTAGAATGCTGCCAGTGAAGAACGCACATCTGATCATTCAGGCCGTAAGATACTGCCAGGAAATGATGAGCATCTGGTGAAGTTGTAGGATACTGCAGGAAATGACGAGCGTCTGAAGAAGTGATGGCATGTTCCTTTCCGCCCATGGAACGCATTCCTCTAAACGACACATCCGCCTTCCCCAACTGCAACCAGACTTTCTCATGCGGGGGCCTCTAAAACCTCTCTTACCCATTCACCGGCAGGCCTCGTCCGTTATTCTGTCGCCCTCTGGATTCCTCCTCAGCTGCACCGACGATGAATCCCTCTGTTAGTTATGGACTCACTGAGTTACAGGATCATCCAACTCGACCAAAATATTTAGAGCATGACGCTTTCCCGCTCAGACCTGTACAACAATACGTGTACCCACGAATTCACTAACACCACTCTGAATTCCACTTTATTCAATCTCAGCCCAGACAACCAAAACCTTTCGCTGTTCTATGAGTGTACTTCGGTCCAGGCGTATACGCCGGAGAACGTGTTCTGGTGCGTCGTAGATGGGACTTCTCGTAGCGCCGCCTACTGTGTGGTGGATCTACTTCCGAACGTTCCTCTTTTCCAAATTATTCATCGTAACATAATCGTCAAACTGCCCATGTTGAGCTGCGGATAAACTTACGACTAATAGGTCTTCGCTCAAGGAAGCTTTAATGTAGGGATTTAGCGTGAATTAGGCTACTCCCAATGGGGCCGATTGCGCTAGTTGTCATGATTGGGGTGGGGAGTGCGGGTGTTTGGATCAGTGTGTTTGCATTTGTGGTGATCGAATTTGTGACATACCAGGTATTTGTTTACATAACTGACTTTACTATCTATGTGATAACGTTGGTTCTTTGCCTAGTTTCAAATTTTTGCATTATATGTCTGCATTTTGCTTCCAGAACCATAATTAAGTTCACCTGAACTCCTGAGGATTATAGCTTGGTCTATCTTTATGTTCTATTGTGACAATTAATGGTAGGAAAATTTATGAATCATGGTTTCTGTGTGGCTAGCCACTAACTATTGGGCACCCTTGAGTTGAGTTTGTTTCCAGTAATGCTACTTGAATTGAAGGATGTTCTTTGGCTTCCATTGTGATAAATGGATAGTTTCAACCTTAATGAAATTTCACTTTGCTGATGGCAAAAGTCTCTAAACTTCTTAGAAATGAATTTGTTTGTTTTAATCCGTAATTAGCCTACTGCTGTATTCAAATGTCTATTTACGCTGCATCAAATCAAATACTAATAATCGTGTATTAATGTTGTTCTAGTATGTAGCAATATTTTGTCTTAGGAAGAGTTGACTCTTTAAAACATTGCAATCTTATTGCATTCAAATAAGCTAATTCTTTCTTCAATATTTCTATAGTGGATTTTAGTTTGTGTTTCTAACATGCTTCTGTAGCTCTCTTCTATCAGTAAAAAAAAGTGATGATAGCATTTCTTTTCCTTTTCTTTGTTTCAGGGCAATGGAAGCTTAAAGTGAAACTAATCATAGGTATTAAATTAGTCTCATTTGGGAAATATTATTTTTGTCTGACATCTTACATCATTTCCAGATTAGTTGACTAGATCTAATATTTTGGCCAAGCAACAGAACGTTGACTTGATCTTCATTATATCTCCTATAAAACAGGATTGGCAGTAGCTGTAGCTACCCTTATGGCAATCGGTTTTATAGTGCTCTTCTTTAGGCTTAAAACAAAATCATTGTCAAGTTTGAAGTCTCTATACTTCCATCTAACTGGCAAGAACGATGAAAGAGTTGAGGCATTCATTCTTCAGTTTGGTTCTCTTGCTCCCAAGAGATTTTCCTATTTGAACATCAAGAAAATAACCAACTCATTCAAAGATAAATTGGGTCAAGGAGGATATGGCAGCGTATATAAAGGAGAATTACTTGATGGCCGTATTGTGGCAGTAAAAGTACTTAGAAAATCCATAGGGGATGGACAAGATTTCATCAATGAAGTTGCTAGCATTAGTAGAACCTCCCACGTCAATATAGTCAGCCTATTGGGGTTCTGTTATGAGAGGTCAAAAAGAGCTTTGATTTATGAATTCATGCCTAATGGATCTTTGGATAAGTTCATTTGTAATCAAGGATCTCGAGAGAACCATCAGCTTGCAATTAAGACCTTGTATGAGATAGCATTAGGCATTGCTCGAGGACTAGAATACTTGCATCGAGGTTGTACCACAAGGATTTTACACTTTGACATAAAACCTCAAAACATCCTCTTAGATGCCAACTTCTGTCCTAAGATCTCTGATTTTGGTCTTGCTAAATTATGTGAAACAAGAGATACTATTGTTTCAATGACAGGGGCTAGAGGAACTTGTGGATATATTGCTCCAGAGGTGTTTTGTCGAAACTTTGGAGGAGTTTCTTACAAGTCTGATGTCTATAGTTATGGCATGATGGTGCTGGAAATGATTGGGGGGAGAGGGAAGAATATTAATGTGGAAGTGTCTCACTCCAGTGAAATGTATTTTCCAACATCACTGTATAAGCAACTTGAAAAATCGGAAAAATTGAATCTTGACAGATTCATAGCTGATGAGGAAGAAGAAATGACTAGGAAGATGATAGTAGTGAGCCTTTGGTGCATTCAAACAATTCCATCAAACAGACCATCAATGAGTAAGGTGCTTGAGTGGTTACAAGGAAGCCAAGAAGCTTTGCCACTTCCACCAGAACCCTTGTTGTCTTCTCCTGCAGCAATATCACTCCAAAACTCAAACACCACATCATCAGTCATAATGCAGGTTAGACCATACTCAACAACTTCTTATATGATTTAGTACAATAAAGGTATCCTTTTTTTGTTTTTTTGTTTTTTTTTGGGATGTACAATTGTCTTCAATTTGCCTACTATGTTCATAGCAATATGTTTGACATGATTTGCAGGGGGTTCCAAGCACTTTTGAGACGACTTCACTACGTCATGGTGATGACGAAATATCTTCAAATACATAGAAATGGTGTCTGCTGCTTTTTTTTTTTTTTTTTGAACAGAAAAACAAATTATAGCTATAAGAAGTCAAACACCCCCTCTAGATGGTATTAAAAAGTTCAGCAGAGTTTTCTCTGTATTTTCTTAAACCTTTGATCTTCAGCATGTAACACTCGATAGACCGCTGTGAAATCATCCCCATTCTCCATGAAACACACTCCTTTGGTTTGTTCATCCAATCAGTCAATGCAAAACAGCAAGTTTTCACTTGTGAGCCAAAACCAGTTCCTCAGTTGCAACATTATTACTCTAAACTCCGTTGATTTGGATACTAACTCGAACCTTAAAAGAAATATTTCATTCCGTAAGATACAAACCAAATTACCTGAAGATTCGATGAAGAAAACTAAAATTACCTCATGAGGAAGGAGGACATCAACGTAGCAGACTTGTTAGTCGGCGAAGAACTTCATCGGGGGTTTGCAGAGATCGTACATTTCCCCGGCGTTGCAGAGACGCGTGATTTGGAAGACACCAGGAATTGGCGCCAGAAATTAGATTCCAGTAAATTTTAATCAAAGTGATGATTAGGTTCAATGGGTTTGACAGCCTGGCCTATGTTCTCGTAAGGCCCAATAAATTCCTTTTAGCCCATGAAGCCCTTCCAATAAGAGTAAAATCCGGAAGAGCTAAAACCATTTTTATGTATATTTTCCTATTAAAATCATACATTTTTTTTTCTAAAATAAAAAAAAAAAAAGAAAAAAAAATGTAGAATGTGAACATGGGCATAATTAATTAAATTCTTTCATATCAGATTTTAAGACTTAATGATATTCAAATAGGTAGTACACAATATCACTACTTAAAAGCAAAAATGATAAAGGTATAATTTAATGTTTTTATAAGTTTGTTATTTGTTTGTATCCAATTACATAATAAGGATTCTTGAATGAAAGAGGCCTCCTTATAGTAGGAGCCTGCTTTTTTTTTTTATGAAAATTTATATTTTACAGTCTAAATTATAAAATATTTTTTTTATATTTTATATAATATAATGTAACATTTTATAATTAATTCTTCTAATTTTAGCATTGATTAATGTGCATTCTTTTATTTGATGTTGTTTATTTTATATAAATGATTGTAGAAAAGATCCAAACCTTCAAGGTTAAAGTCTTAGGGTCAGCACTTAAAAAAATTAATTTATTTAAAAAAAATTAATTTTTTAAATACATCAAATAGGTAAAGAGTGCGTATTTAAAATTCTTTATAAAAAAAATAATTTCGAGATAGGCAAAGACTAGACCTGAAATGTCTTGACAAGAAATAAAAAAAAGTTATACAAACAACTGTTACAAGCTATCATTACCAAGTTCCAATTTAAACTCTTTTGCCAAAAATTGCAAGAAATGTCTTACCAAGCTATCATTACAAACTATCATTACAAACAACTGTTACAAGCTATCATTACCAAGCTATCATTACAAGAAATGTCTTGTTAGGAATTTTAATGACCTCCCATTGAGGAGACAGCTTCCACGTTATTAACGGGTTTGATTTGAAATGAAACTTGGATTTATTATTATTATTATTATTATTATTATTATTAAAGTAATGTTGTGGCACTTTGATTTGAAGTGTTATGTAATTCAATGGGTTTGTACAACTGTCTATACGATGAACTTGGCTAAGTGACAGTAAGGTGTAGGCCTTGATTAGTTGGAATCTTAATTAACTTTGGTAGTAATTAGCCAATATTGGCCTTTTCGTTTGGTTCTGAATAACTCTTGGCAATGCAGTTCGGTTGATTGTTCGAGGAGTTAGAGAGGCAAGTAGCTACGCGCGCCCTCTGGTATTTTTGAATACAGTTGCTTAAATAAGTTTTGAGGAATTTTATTTATATAAAATTTTATTAAATTACTTTTATTATAAAATGAGATGAATTTCAAGTCAAGTATATTCGTTTTATTTAATGTTTTGAGATGAGATTATAATTAAATGAAAAGTGATTATTTTTAATTATATATTATTATTATTTATGAAATGGTTTAATATATTTTTGAATGGTTTGTGTTTTAAATTAATTATTATTGTATGTGAATAGAATTGCAGATGTAATTATTATAAGTAATGTATTTTTACGGGTTTTTTTTTTAAATAATAAATTTTATGTGCTGATCTCCTGATAAAATCAGAGTATGAATGGCAATGATATGCGCATGAAATCCTGTGCTTCTCATTGTGATTGCAATATACATATATACAAACTGTCAGCTGTAATCAAGCCTAAATCAGTGATTCTATACAGGGAATGCATTTATTGGTATGAACAGCAAAATATCAGAGATTAATGTTGATTGATTGATTTCCTTATTCATCTCCTTGATATCCGGCTATACTCCCCCTCAAGTTGGAGCATGAAGGTCTCTAATGCCCAACTTGCATAATAGGAAATGAAGTTGTTCCTTGCCTAATGCCTTTGTAAACAAATCTGCTAGTTGACAATGAGAAGACACATGAGCCGTGAGCAACTCCTTCCTTTGAATGTGTTCACGAACAAAATGGCAATCTATCTCAATATGTTTTGTGCGCCCATGAAACACAAGATTATTGGCAATGTGTAAGGCAGCTTGGTTATCACAAAACAATGTCATTGGCTTCAAGTGATATATCCCAAGATCATAAAGCAAGGACTTTAACCAAGTGAGCTCACTGACAGTTGATGCCATGGCCCTATACTCAGCTTCAACGGAGGAGCGAGAGACAATTGATTGCTTTTTCGACTGCCAAGAAACAGGCGAGTGTCCAAGACAAATATAATAACCTGTTGTTGAGCGCCGTGTCAGTGGGCAACCAGCCTAGTCTGCATCACAATAAGCAACAAGATGTCGATGACTAGAAGAGGAGAGTAATATCCCTTGTCCCGGTGAGTTCTTAACATAACGTAACACTTTCATTGCTGCATCAAAGTGTTCCTGTTTGGGTTCCTCCATGAATTGTGCTAAGATTTCAATAGAATAGCATATGTCTGGTCGTGTTATTATCAAGTAAAGGAGCCGACCGACTAGCCTCCTGTATTGTGAAGGATCTGGTATAGGTGAACTAGATGCAAGCCCGGGACGATGATGCTGCTCCATGGGAAAGGAACTAGGCTTTGCCCCAAGCATGCCTGATTCTGTGAGTATGTCGAGAGCATACTTTCGTTGGCTCAGAACTATCCCTTCTGTTGTTCTAGCTACCTCAATTCCAAGAAAATATTTTAAGGGACCCAAATCCTTTATAAAAATGCAGAATGAAGATAGTGTTTTAAGGTTGCAATTCTGGCACCATCATTGCTGGTGATGACAATATCATCAACATAAACTAATATTGCAACAAAACTATCAGTAATGGCCAATGTGAATAAGGAATAATCTGCCTTTGATTGCTTAAACCCAACTGCTTCAAGAGAGGTTGTAAACTTTTCAAACCAATTCTTAGATGCTTGTCGTAGTCCATAAAGTGATTTCCGCAACCTACAAACTTTGTTGCTCTGGTTGCAAGTAAAACCTTGTGGTATTTTCATATATACCTCTTCATGTAAGTCACCTTGCAAGAAGGCATTATTGACATCTAATTGATGCAGTTCCCAGTGCTTAATCGAAGCAAGAGCCAGTGATGTCCTCACAATGACCATTTTAGCAACAGGAGCAAAGGTCTCATGAAAATCAAGCCCTTCAATTTGAGTAAATCCCTTCGCTACTAAGCGAGCCTTGTACCGTTCAACGGTTCCATCTGGCTTAAATTTGATCTTATAGACCCGTTTGGAATCCATTGCACGTTTGTCAGGAGGCAATGTCTCAATTGTCCAAGTGCCATTCTTCTCAAGTGCAGCAATCTCTTGCCTCATTGCTTCTCGCCAGTTTTCATTTTTAATGGCCTGAGAAAAGGATTTAGGCTCATCTATGGAAGAGATGGCTGCTAAATAATTGAGATGAGTGGATGAAAAGAAGTTGTAAGAGACACAATTAGATAGAGCATAGGGATCACTTGAGTTAGTTGATTGAGATAGAGCTTGCATAGGCATAACAGACTGGGGCATGGTGCAAACATAATCATCAAGCCTTTGAGGGACACGCCTCTCACGTTGTGGTCGAGGAGGTCGGACTACTTGATCTTGATCTAGGTGGTTTGTATTGGTCTCCAAATTAATGTCAGCAACTTGTGCTTCTTCCATTGTTTCGGACTAGTTTTGGTTATCAATGGTGTTATCTTAGACACTATTATCAGAAGCCAAAAAATGAGTTTCCAAGTTGGGTGGCGTGATACAAGGGGAAGGTTTTTTTTTTTTTTTTTGAACAGCCAAAAGTAATATTAATTAAAAAACAGAATACAAGGGTACCCTAAACCCATTAACATCCCAATTGGAAAAGCATAAGTTTACATCTGTATGGTGTCGACACCAAAATTGTGTGTCAACACCATGTCTATGTCGGAATTCTGGGTGCTCACCGTATGGTGTCGACACCACACCCGTGTCGGGTTTTCTGCCCTCTTTTGCAATTTCTCCATATCTCACTGTTTTGATCATCAAACCCACTGGCACGGGAAACCCCTACTGTTTAAAAAACACCTTTATATGGTATTACTGCAGACATCATATCATCTCACCTTACTCAAGTTCTATCAATCTTAGTTTTGGAACTTTTACTATTAGGCATCTACTTGGAGCATTGCACCAGTCCACAAAAGAGTATGTCCAGCCTTCAATTTTGCTCTTTATCCAGCAGTATGAGTTGTATTGTACCATGTGGAACACTTTGTCAGTGGACACTTGCTTTGCCTCAAAAATTCTACGATTTCGAGTTGACCATAAGGCCCAGATTGTAGCATACCATATCACCTGCCACCCTTTTTGGTTTCTACCCGCCCAGCTATGTTGGAGAAAAGCATCCTTACAACTCCTAGCCATGACATACTTGATTTCCCACCATGCAAGATTTTTGTTCCAAATTTTTCCTGAAAAATCACACCACAGTAGTAGGTGGTCCTCATTTTTTGCTATTTCTACACAGAAACTGCACTTAGCATCTGCTTCTTGTCTAATGATATTCCTCTTCAGGAGGTTTACCTTGCAAGCTGTACGTAGAAGCACTGACAGCCAACTAAAAGCACAGATTTTCAATGGGATTGTTGAGTTCCAGCATCTCTTAAGACATTTGATTTCATCCCCTTCTTTTGTTGTTGTTAGCATCTTGTATGCTGATTTTACTGTGTATTCACCGTCTTTTTCATATCTCCACCACCATCTATTGTCGGCGTCTTTTCGAATTTGCACATTTTGTATGGTGCTCCGAAGTTGTGTTTCTTGGTCATGTTCCCTTGTTGATAATCTTCTCCTCCATTTTAATCTCTATCTCCATGAACCACCTATCCATTCTCCCATTTGCTGCATCGTGCTTTGTCTATCTATGGAAAGATAAGATAATCGAGGGAACATTACTTCTAAGCTATGAGATCCCACCCACACTTGTCTCCAAAAGGAGACCTTAGCACCATCTCCTGTAACCAACTTAAAGCACGACTTCACCCAATCCCGTTTCCCCTCAATCAACTCATTAATTTTGCAAACATCTTTCCACCATCTAGATCCCCTATTCTGCCCCTCTGTTATCCATTCTCCCCAGCTTCCTCCTTCTCCTCCATATTTATCTAAGAGCACGCTTCTCCATAAGCCTCCTTACTCATTAACTAATCTCCCCCACCATTTCCCCATCAACACTAAATTAAACATCCTAAGGTCTTTAATACCCATCCCCCCTTGTTTCCTATCCTTACAAACTTTATCCCACCTTACCCATGCAATCTTGTTTCTCTCCTCACACCCACCCCATAAAAATTTACTTCTAATTGCATCAATCTTTTTTATCACTTCACCAGGGGAAGGTGAAGCCACACAATCTTTATAATTATGAATAGATGCATATGGGAAGATTTTCTCATAAAAAACTATATCATGTGAAATGAAAATTTGATTAGTTTCCAAATCATAAACTCTATAACCCTTTTGTCCATAAGGGTAACCGATGAAAATACATTTTGATGCTCTAGAGTCAAAATTTCCACGATTCTTGGTGTGATTATGAGCATAGCAAAGACACCCAAACACTTTTAAATGTGAATAACCAAGAGTTTACCAAAAAGTTTTTCAAATGGTGTGAGACCCGAGAGAACAGGAATAGGAGTTAAATTTATTAAATAAGTTGCAGTGAGAACACATTCACCCCAAAATTTCAAGGGTAAATTAGCTTGAAATCTGAGGGCACACGCAACCTCAAGAAGGTGACGATGTTTAAGCTCAACAATGCCATTTTGTTGAGGCGTATAGGCACATGATGTTTGTTTTATGATACCTTTCTTAAAACAAAACTGTTTCACAACTCCTTCAGTGAACTCTTTGCCATTGTCACTGTGTATCTGTTGGACACTAGTTTGAAATTGAGTTTCAATCATATGGCAAAAACTTATCAAATATGATGCAGCGTCTGATTTGTGCTTTAAAAGTAGACCTATGTGCATCGTGAAAAATCATCAACAATGGTTAAAAAATAGTGTGCTCCTGTATTAGATTGAGTGGCATACCTACCCCATATATCACAATGGATTAAGGCAAAATAGTGGGTAGGGACATTATTGCTAATAGGAAAAGGCAATCATGTTTGCTTGGCACGATGACAAGTGTCGCAAACATGCTTTATTCTACTTAAACATGTAGGCAAAGAAATTATTTTGGCTATTCTTTCTATGGATGCATGGCCTAGTCGCTGATGCCACAACTCCAAGGATGTGTCCTCCTTTTGCTTGGTGTGACTTGTTGCAGCAACATGCCCAAAGTCACAATAGTATAGCCCTCCGCGAAGCTTACCCATTCCAATCAACTTCCTCGAGGCTAGGTCCTGAAAAACACAAAAGTCAGGGAAGAAGATCACAGCACAATTAAGTTGTTCTGTTATCTTGCTAATAGAAAGGAGATTGCATGCAAATTGAGGAACATGAAGTACATTGTTCAATGTAAGTTTGTTTGGCAATACAGTCTTTCCTATACTAGACACTTCTAAGGTGGTGCCATCGGGAATATGAACTAGAGAAGAGTAAGGTTTTATGTCTTGAAGTATGGAAATATTAGGTGTCATATGGTTTGATGCACCGTTATCAATTATCCAGGGAATTAAGTTTGTTGCCTTACCAGCTAGGTTGACGAAATGTTTAGGAGTAGAATTACCACCAAGAAGCATGAGGAGTTGATCATACTGCACTTTAGAAAGTCCTGCAATTGGTGACTGATCCAGTGAATCTCCTGCCATCTGTGACTCATGTGATGTATTGGCTGCAAAAATCAACTCTTTCTCCTGATGTTGATGCTTTTGGTGCTCACCCTTTCCCTTCATTTTGGTTGGCCCTATCTTCCAACCAACTGGGTATCCAATGATTTCATAGCATCTCTCTTTAGTATGACCAACCTTCTTGCAATGACCACAGCGTGGCTTCCCTGACATGGAAGATTTCCCAGTGTGGTTCATCTTTGTTGCCAAGGTTGTTGCTTCTATAATTGGACTTCTAGATGCAACCATTGCTTGTTGCTTCTCCTCTTTGGTAGTCATTGCATACACCTTATTCAGTGATGGGAGGGGTTCTGTGCTTAAGATCTGTGATCGAACAGTTGAAAAATTCTCAGTCAGTCCCATGAGAAATTGATGGACTTTCTCTATTTCTCGTGCCTTCATATACTCCTTTGTTGCACCACATGTACAACCACAAGTGCATGTCGGCACTGGCTCATTTGCTTGTAGTTCATCCCATATAGGCTTCAATTTTGTGAAATATGCTGCTACCGATCTTGACTATTGTGTGGTGGTTGCAAGTTCTAGTTTTAATTCACGTACTCGAGATGCATTTCCTTGTGAGAAATGTTCATGTAAGTCATTCCAAACCTCAGCAGCACTCTCCACATAGGCCACACTTCCCTGCAAGTCCCTAGAGAGAGCATTAAGTAACCATGAAAGCACCATAGAATTGCACTTTGTCCAAGCCTAATACTCTAGGGAATCTGCGTTTGGTCTCTTAAGGCTCCCATCAACAAACCCCATCTTGTTCTTTGCAAATAAGGCATTATGCATACTCCTTCTCCACATGTGGTAATTCTCCCCAGTTAAGAGAGTCATGACTAAGACCCTCCCTGGATCATCACTAGAGTGGAGAAAATAGGGTGAATCTGGATCTGTTGTCTTAAGGATACCTATCTCTCTCTTTTCCATTTTGGATCCATTCTTGGCTGTAGTGTCAATCATTGTCGATTGTTGAACGCAGCAAAACCTTGCCGTCGAAATTGATTGTTTGCAGCGAACTCTTGCTGTCGATTGAACCTTCACTGCTCTGATACCATGATAAAATCAGAGTATGAATGACAATGATATGCGCATGAAATCCTGTGCTTCTCATCGTGATTGCAATATACATATATACAAACTGTCAGTTGTAATCAAGCCTAAATCAGTGATTCTATCTAGGGAATGCATTTACTAGTATGGATGCATTTACTGGTATGAACAGCAAAATATAAGAGATTAATGTTGATTGATTGATTTCCTTATTCATCTCCTTGATATCCGGCTATATCTCCACACATTGTTAGTCTTAAAATTCAATGCTTAAATGAATTTTACTCACCCAAATCAATACACTGATTCTGAAAGCAAAGTCAAAAACAGAGAGAGAGAGAGAACAATGGGAAATCGGATTTTAGAGAGAGAGAGAGAGAGAACAATGGGAAATCGGATTTTTTCAAGAAGACTAAGCATCTGTTCGAAGGGTTGTACTATTTATCTATAAGACACCAATTGGTGCCTCTTGCTCCACTCAACAGATGGAACAGATGCAACACTTCAAAAAGAAAACAAACAACCGTTTCGAACGGTTTTTTACACTCGTTTACCAAATTCAATTTTCAAGGTAGTTTTCCAATGGTTCAAACCATGCTTCATCTCCATTGCCAATTTTTTGGCCGACCGGTACCTTCTTTTTTCTTTTTGGCTGACTTGCACTTGATCTCTTGTCAAATTTGTTATGATGAAGACTGCAAATAATAAAATAGTGCGTCGTCGCCTTCATTTTGACGAAGAACATCATGGACAATTGAATAACATTTTTGATGATCGGTTGAATGATTCAGGTGTCTTCCATAATGATTCATGTGACTTTCAGAGTTTTATACTTCCATGAGATATTGGTGGTACAGATGAAGAAAAAATTAAGGGTAAACGTTATATATATATAATTTATATAAATAGAAAAATTGAAATAAATGCTTTGATTAATTGAACTTTTGTTTAAATTGTCTCCGTTTCTATTTAGAACGTGCAATATTAGAGCTAATCTAAAATCTACAAAGTACTGTACTGAAGATGAAATTTATAAGTTAAAGCAAAAATCTGAAAATGTTGAAACTTATTCTGAGTTGTCAGTAGGGCTAACTGTTGTGGTGTTGAATAATTTCAAACTTTCTTTTTATATGCTTCTTGCAAATTATCCTCCCGTTACACCTGCTGGTTGTTAGTTGTTATAGAACATGGATAAATTCCTAGAGAAAATAAACACATCAACAGGACCAGATCAAGGTTGTATTAGATCTTGACACCTGTATCATTTTACCGCTACCTCAACCCCTTAACTGCACTTCCCTCTAAATTATAGGAATTTTTGTTTCTTTTGAATTTAAACTACAACCTGCTAGATAATCTTTCATCATTCCCCAAAATTGATTTTTACATATCTAAATCTCAACAATAAATTTAATATGATCTCACATTATCCATTAACACATGACATCACCTAAAAAAATGCAATTTATGGTGTAAATACATGTATTGATAACTCATATTACCATGTTATTTTACAACTTGTATCTTGTGTTTTTTTTTTTCCCCCTTATTACGTTTATACATCTATTTCCTTTATATCAATTGCATTGAATCTTTGTTTTGCTTATATACTAATAAAATGCCTCCCACAAACAATAGATGTAGATGCAGTCTACCTAACACTCAACACCAAGTGGACTCGGCTAAAATTGCCTGTTTTGATGAACTTGTGGTTGAGTTGAAGACTTTCTTTCATGAAGTTGATGAGATCATTTCTTCATGAAGTTCAAACGGACTCATCTAAAGTTATATGTTTTTATTTTAGTTTGATGGATTTGTAATAAGAAGTTTCTTTTACTCTACTTCTATATCTATTAGTATATAATGCACTTACAGCATGCTTGGAGGTGTAAACTTGAGTATCATTGAAATGTTTTCTTTTTTAATCAATCTTGAGTATCTTTGAATTGTAGTTGTTAAAATAATATGTCTTGAAAACATTAAAAAACGAAATGAATTTATATTAAATTAATTTTATTTTATTAAAAAAAAAAAGGAAAAAAATTAAGACATCTTATTATTAAAAAGTCAAAATGTCTAATTATATTGTTAGGATACTACCATTCATATTGTTAGGATATTAACATTTATGTTAGAATATTAGCATTTATATTATATTCATATATTCACATTATAATTGTAAACCTTTAAGTTAATCAAGTTTGTACATAAAAATATTTTATTGTATACATATAGGTTCTTTGCATATATATAATGAAAATAAGAAAGTAATAAACTTGTTTTTTTTCAAATATTCCTCTTATCTAAGATTCGAACAGTGGATTATGAATTGTGGATTGTATATTATAGATCATGAATGGCTATATAGTAATATATAACGAAAATTCTGTATTTTAACTTTAAGAAATAAAGTGTGATTTGATGAGTCATTTTAAAAGATGTTAACTTTAAAGAATTGCATGTTTGACTGTTTTAGATGGGTACTATTTATTGAGTTATTTAACTTATATTTTTAAAACTTTATCTCATTTTAAATGATGAAGGATGAGTATTAAAATTTGCATAGAGATTATGAAACTGTTAAAATAATTGACAAAAATTTCGTTCATACCTCAATTTAAGGATTATTGACTTATAAGGGTACAACTTAATTAAGTTAAAAATTCTTGAGAAATTATAATAATTTGCATGTTTCACACCCTTTCATTCTTATTGATGTGTGGTGTTTATCATGTCTTAACCCATGATAAACGTCATTCGGTCGCCATTAATTTCAACCGTACCTATTAAGTCGGTCCAACTTACGGGTCAGCTTCAATGGTACGAAAATAATTATAAAAGTAAAACTAAATGATTACAGAAACAACAGCAATTTGTTTCTGATTTCTCGCGTTCATATTAGAGATATTGACAAAGTTGACATGATTCAAGAATTACAGCTGGTTCAACGCCTTTCTTTTTAAAAAAAAAAAAAGAAAAAAAAAAGAAAAAGGAAAAAAGAAGAGACTTCTGGTTTGTCTTTCACTTGGCAATTAAACCCCTAAGAATTAATGGCTTGTTAATTTTGTGCTCTCAACAATCTTAAGAACTACTAAGAAAGTTTAATTTAGAGAAAAGACATTTGTGTTTGGTATTTTTTATTGCAGACTTTCCTAGGAAATTTTGCTTTCGTGGGAAGAAGAATCAAAGGCCTAAGGTTGATCGGATTCTTCTTCATGATTGAAAACAAGGGAAGAAAATATATTTTCCTGAGTTTGTGAGCATTTATAACCAATTATTTTAGTTTTGTAATTGATTATTTTAAATTTTAAAAGTGTACATAATTGATTATTTTAGTTTGTATAATCAATTACTTTAATTTTTTAACTAATTATATTTTCTTTTATATAATTGACTATATAATAATTACTTTAAATAACATAATCAACTATGTTCAAAATATATGCTCAAGAAAAATTTTTACCAGAAGAACAAACAAATACAAAAAAGTCGTGTAATTTTCCCTTGATAACATAGTTTGTCCAAAAAAATAATCTATCTTGCAAAACATTCTAGCATGAGAGGGTAAACAAACATGCACTAAAAGAAATCTGTTGGCTTATTCACATCTCCTAGCATGAATATAGGGGAGATGAGAATTTATTCTCCTAATCCCCCTTTGCTTTCGGCCTTTGTCCAGATTGAGAAAGACACAAAGGCTGTGTTTAGGATCATTGTATATGTAATTGTGGTACTTTTATTGTTCTATAATAGTTATTAAGATAATAAGGCCGTGTTTAAGATTATTGTACATTTGTACTTATTATATGTAGTTGTGAAGAAAGATATATAATCACTCTCTCATACCTAATTAATTAATTTAGTTCACTTATATATATTATTTTATTCAAACATGATACATCTTACTTTAACCAAAAAAAAATTTTTTATTCAACTGATTGAGATTTTGGCAATTCCTTTACCTCAAAGAAAGACAGGGATTAACTTAAAAAAACTATAATACTACTGTACCTGTACACAAATTAGGTGGCAATTACACTCCATTATTGTTTTTGATCGGCACAATCAAGGTTAGGCTTCCCTCTCATTTTCCCACTTATTATTATAAAGGGTTTATTTAACATGTGTCATAAAAGTAAAGATTAATGATGTATTAAATATATCATTTTATCATTAATTTGTATTAAAAAAAATAAAGTTTAACATTTAATTCATTAATTATGCAATTAAATTGACCCATTTGACATATTAAAATTAATATCAATTTTTATAATTTTTTTATATATTTATAATAAAAAAATATTCTTAACTTGTGTAAAAAGGTAAAAAAAACCTTCTTAAGCCCCCCAATCTTACCCCAAAATAGCATTTAAGTTTCTAAATTAAAACTGAAGTAAATAAACCCTTCAACTCTACTAACAATGCAAATAAGTCCTTCTTATTCATGGATGTTTATGCTTTCAAGCTGATATTAAACATAAAATACAGTTAGGCCCGTTTGTGAAAAGAGTTTATTTGCATTATTAGTAGAGTTGGAGGGTTTATTTACTTTGTTTATAATTTAGGGGCTTAAATACTATTTTGGGGTCAGTTTGGGGGCTTAAGAAGGGTTTTTACCTTAGGAAAACTCTATTATGAATTCACTCCCCCACGTTTTCTCTCACCCTTTTAGTCCTCCTAGCAGCTTTCCTTTCCCCACAAAGAATGGCAGCCAAAGCCATCATCATTGTCCTTATCGCCGCCATGTTCGCCTTAGCATGGGGGCGGGCACCGGCGCATGAGCCGGCCGCATCTGCTTCTGAACAGTCTGCTGATGCGCCACCGGATTCGGACTGCTACACTAACTTGCTGAATGTGTCGCACTGCCTGTCGTACGTGAGAACTGGAAGCAACGCTACGAAGCCGGACAAGGCTTGCTGCCCGGAGGTAGCGTGGCTGTTGAAAAGGTCCCCTATTTGTTTATGTTATTTACTTGATAAGAACAAAACGGACATCTGGCTCAGTATTGATAAGAGTAGGGTTCTCAAGATTCCTTCTGCTTGCGGCCTTACTATCTCTACCGTCAGTTTGTGCTCAGGTAATAATTTCTCTCTTTAATTTTTCATGTTTTCTAGATCTTGGCATGATCCGTCGATAAATTAACGGTTCACAGTGCCTTATTTAAATATGTTTTTTTTATTTTGAAAAATAAATTCAATTTTTATTGATATTATTTGGAGTATAATTAAGGATACTCCAAATCCATTCCATTACATACTACTTACTGCGAAAAATAAACCCTTCTGTTACAATATCTAATAAAGTTTGTGCGCGTACAACTGCTTCTTGCCTTTTCGGTAAGTGAGAAGCTTCAGACACCCATATTTTCATATTTGGTTAAATACCTTTTTTGGTCCCTCTACTATAAGAAAAAGCTTGTTTT